AGGAGAGGAGATCGTGAACACAGGTCGCGCGGTTCAAGCACTCGTGGCACAGGTGTCCGAGCTCACCCAACAGCTACAACATCTACGAGCTCCCACTGCGCCGCCCACACCCCCCCCCCCCCCCCCGGCTCGTGGCTCGTAATGTTCACGATTTTGTTTTGGCTTGCTCGGTTTGCGCCACTAGCAAGACGTCTAACCGATCTCCTGATGGGTTGCTCCGACCGCTCTCTGTCCCTTCGAGACCCTGGTCCCACATCGCACTAGATTTTATTACCGCCCTCCCACCCTCTAAGGGTATGACGGTTGTTTTGACCGTAGTGGACCGGTTCTCGAAGGCGGCACATTTCATTCCCTTGCCCAAATTACCTTCAGCCAAGGAGACAGCGGTCACGGTCGTTGATCACAACCGTCAAAATTTTGGCGAGAGTTTTGTAGGTTATTGGGAGCTACGGTCAGTCTGTCTTCGGGTTATCATCCCCAGAGCAATGGTCAATCTGAGTGAGCCAACCAGGATTTGGAGAGAACGTTACGATGTATGGTAGCCAAGAATCCTTCATCCTGGAGCCAACAACTTTCTATGTTTGAGTACGCTCATAATTCGTTACCAGTGTCATCAATGGGCCTCTCTCCGTTTAAGTGTAGTTTAGGTTACCAGCCACCAATTTTTCCGAGTCTGGAATCCGAGGTCGCGGTCCCCTCCGCACACGCGTTCGTCCAGAGGTGGCGCCGCACTTGGACCAGAGCCGGTAAGACTCTGCTCCAAGCGGGGAGGCGCATGAAGGCCAAGGCCGATCGCCACCGGTCAAAGCCTCCCGTATACATCGTGGGTCAAAAAGTGTGGCTTTCTACCAAGAACATTCCGCTCCGTTCCGTTTCCAATAAGTTAGCTCCCAAATTTATTGGCCCGTTCCCTGTCACCAAGATCATTAGTCCGGTGGCAGTCCGACTCAAACTTCCTCCGGCGTACAGGAGAATTTGTCCCGCCTTTCATGTGTCAAAGATCAAGCCCGTGTTTTATTCTCCTATTAATCCGCCAGTCCCGGTTCCCCCCCTCGCCGCGACTCGTAGATGGGGAACCCACTTATTCGGTACACCGTATTCTGGACGCTAGACGGAGGGGACGCAGATTTCAGTACTTGGTGGACTGGGAGGGTTACGGTCCGGAGGAGAGGAGTTGGGTACCTGCTAGGGACATTCTGGATCACTCCCTTATCGATGATTACAATCGGCAGGTAGGTTTGGCTGGGAACGCCAGAAGGCGTTCCTAGTGGAGGGGGTACTGTCACGGTTCATGAATCCACTGTCTCATTATGGTATGTTGTGTGTGTGTATGCGTGTCTGTGTGGGGGCGTGGTTACCAATTCCCGTTTGATTGTTTGCACCAGCTGCAAGTCATTACCAGTCCCTTTATATGTTCAGTAATTTCCATCTCATGTTGTCAGATCGTTGTGGCTTCCCCGTTTTCGTGTCCTGTTCCCGTGTGGCTCTCTTCTTCTCCTCGCGTGTTGCAGTCTTCGTGGATCTTCGTCGTTGTTTCACCGTCTGGATTGTTTATTGTTCCTGGTTCCTGAGCATATCGATTTCATCACCACGAGTCTCTGGGTTGCCCATCGACGTCCCTGTGTCACAGCATCATCTGAGTGTTTGTCCCCGACCTGTGTTTCTGTGTACATCTGACCATCTTTAATATACACCTTTTACTTGCATTTGTATCCGAACCGTTCATCACAAATTCAAACAGCCCACGTTCACTCAACCGTAGAGTTGTCGTCATGTCAGAGGGTGGGGAGGGCTGCATTGTTTTGAGTAAACTTACTCAATTTCTTATGTGTGTTAAATATTAATAATATTGATTTGAATTAAGTAATATTTGTGGTTGTTTTGTTTGTCCACAATTTTTTCTGTTTGTTTGTCCACAAGCATAAATATATATCTAGACAGGAGTATAATGACGAGCAAACAGCTTTTTGAATTGTGTGTTTTATGTGTTGTTTGTTTGGGAGTGGAGCATGCACAGTCAGCTCTGTCATGATATGTAATAAATGAGTCACCTATTGCCACCCTGAAGCATAAATGTAATGTTGGGGCTATGGGGCGGGGCTAAGTGCAGAAAAAGGCAAAATGGCTGAAACCTATAACAGGTCTGTCTTATCCTTACCACACATCGAAACATGGTGTCAGAAGTAAAGTACTAAAGAAAATAAAGCGACAATAAGAGTAACGAAAATGGAAGGATTAAAGCCACCTGCAGGACTTGATCTACTGCATGATAATTTGTCAGAAAACTGGAGGAGATTTCGGTAAGTATTTGAGCTGTATCTAGACGCAACGTGAAGCGCTAGCAAGCCACCCAAGGTAAAGTCCTCACTATTTCTTCATGTAGCCAGCGAAGAAGCGCTTGAAGTGTAAAATACCTTCACGTTCGAAGAAAACGATGATAAACATAGTCTGTCGAAAAAAATGGAGAAATTTGAAGAGTACTGTAACCCGAAAAAGAACATAACCTATGAGAGGTATACGTTTTTCACGTCTGTGCAAGGGGACATGCCAATTAGCCAATACATTACAGAACTAAAGCTAAAGGCGAAGTCATGCGAGTTTGGACTGTTGCAAGAATCTCTAATAAGAGATCGAGTTGTCGGAACTGAAGACGCAGTGGCTGAGTTTTGTTTTCGAAGGGAATATTCCCCACGATCAACGTCAATGCTCTCATGTTTGCGCGATCATTTCTCAGCAGGCTGCTTTATAAATGAGGGTCAGTATAAAGCTGGTTTTGCTAAGAAGCTGCTCCTGAAAAAAATAATCGGTACCAACTTTTTATGTTCCCTCTGCACCTCCAGAAGAAGTAAGTGTAAAGTTTTATTAACCTTTATATTAATCTTTGCAAATCGCGAAAAAAAAGTTTTTCATGAACATTAGTTGTAACGTCAATCTTTCTAACGTATGCATCACTAAACACATAGCGTTCGTATCTCACTACTCTACCCTGCCAGTGCATACAAAAATAGATCAAAGTGACATTACGTTAACCAACCATTCAGAAACGTCCTGTTCGAGCCTTAATTGTCGAACTTCTTTGCGGCCGTCATCTTGTTCCGGGTCCGACTCCTGTTAAAACTCATACGGTTGCACAGATGTGTCCTCAGAGACTCCCGCTGCCATTCTTTCTCCAAAATATACCCTCAACTGTTGTCAAGGAAACACTCCACGTGCGTTGTGTCAAAACGCCAGCAGAACAGAAGGGCGGGGTGAGCGAAGCTCATTATCATTTAAAGGCATATGCACTAAAACGGCGTGCTGAAAACAGAGCTGTTTTTGACCAGGTAAAATTAGTGTTTTCTTAAAATAGTAATGAGAATAAAAAAAAAAGTATATTTACAAAGTTTTTATTTAGACCCCAAACATTCATATTAACTTGTACAAAAATGGCATTAGGCTACACACGTTCCGAATTCTGACACTGCAGCATGCAGCCTCTGCATGGGTTGTACCATGTGAGGGAGTGTTCCCCTCCTCTCCCAAATAGAGTTGGTTGGGTCCATAGCCATCTTTTTCAAAATGTTTTCTCAGGTAGGCTACCGATAGCTGGGCCAGCCCTACCGTAACGGTACGCGTCAGGGAGGAAGAGGCCAGGAAGGGCTGAAAAAAAAAGAAAGGCATGGAGGAGGATGCTGCCAAATGTGCCAAGCTTACAGATTTATTTTCAAGAGGACAAACACAAGTGGCAGAGATAGGCCTAAGAATGATTAGCATTAGCAACGCAAGTATTCGGCAAATACCGCTGTAGCGTTGTCAACCTTTTCAAAAGCAAAATATTAAATTTAATTAAAATATTAGCCTTTTTGTATCACCCAATATATGGTGATTCATAGACTTTGAAAATATTATGCAAATATTGATAACAAAACTCAAGCTTGATCTGTGTATGCAGTAAAATGACCTCTTAATTATTTTTTTGTAGCTTCTGAGCAGCAGATAAACCAGTCCCCCACTGAAAATGAGGAGGCACATGCAATTTCTTTCCCTGCTGTGTACAGTCAAAGGCATAACCAATTGTGTTTATCTGAACTTTGTGTGTTTTTGACATAGCCTTGTGTATTTGACCGTTTTTTGGCTGAAACGCAATTAGATGCGAAAGAGAAATTAGTTTAATACTCACAGGAAACTCCGTCTGACAGCCAGCTTTCTGTGCGTGCTTTTAAGATGTGTGCACTCAGAAAACCATATTACAGAAGTTTAAACTGATATGGCTTTAAAAGGAATGCAAATAATACAATTTCATGATGACGAAGAGCTGCAATGTCTCGTGAGCGTGGCCACGATAGAGATGATAATCAAAACCAAACAGATTTTGTTCTTGTTTTGTTAGTTTTTGGCAGATTTGCATATCTAATGTTTGGTGATTTGTTGCCTATGGAGTCATGCACATATTCTTGTGACATCTGTGAAGTCAGTCTACAAAGCACAGCACAGAGATTTATCCAGAGAGCCTGAACATTCACTCTTCAGGTGATGAATTTTTAATAAATTTTCTTGTTTTCAGCTAAATAATATACATTTTTGTAAGATGGTTTAAAATAACACTGATACCTAAAATATTTTAAAAAGAACGTGAAAGACAGTTAAAAGTAGAACTGATTACATTTTTTATGCAAACCTATAGGCTATGTAAGGATTTGAAATAGTAACCATTTCATGTTCTGAAGTCATTTAATATTGGATTGATTTTTTTCTAATGTTATGTGGGTGTATCAAAGTGATCTGCCTTAAAATTACCTTACAGTAAATGTTAGACATTTAATGTTGACATATGAATTTGTAATTGTGTGGAATTGCACACTGTTTGAAAACCTTCTATTTGTATTGTTAAACACATAACATTGTCTTGTTTCATATACAGTCTAAATTACATTTTCTCTTTTCCTATTGATCACAGCTGCTATAATATTAGTTACATTTTTCTTGAGTTTTTGAACTGAAAAGAAAAAAAAACAGAAGAGATGAATAATTCTACATTGAACTTCACCGCACCTGAAACATCTACAAACTCCACAATTCAGTCCACTGGGCTTGTGGGAAGTCTGGACATTTGTATACACATCATCAATTTCCTGTTTGGTCTTCCTACACAGTCCTATGTTGTATGGCTCATCATCACAGGATCAAGAGTTGCATCAGGATTATTTAACCTCAATCTGTCTGTTTGTGAGATTGGTAACTGTCTGATTTCTTTTATCAGTATATTTAATTATTGTACTGGGTTTTCATATCTAACAACACTATCAGTGTTTTTGATAGGACTAGGCGTCACTGGTCGTCCTCTGTTTCAGTGTCTGATCTGTGTTGAGCGTTACCTGGCAGTGGTTCATCCTGTAACCTTTCTGAAGTACAAACCTCTCAGATATAGAGTGATCTGCTGCACTGTGGCCTGGATAATCACACTTGGATGCTGTTTGTGCTGCATATATACTATTAGCTTGTTATATATTTATGTATGCTTCTACTCCATTCAGTTCCTCCTCTTTCTCTCCATCCAGTTGTTCTGCTGTATGGCTGTTCTCGGAGCTCTGAAGCAGTCAGGACCAGGAGAGAGAGGGAGAGAGAGAGAGGAAAACCACATGAAAAGAGAGCCCGTTCTCATCCCAAGGCGTAATATACTGACTCTTTTGCCAAAGCGTCTATATCCCACGCACATGGCACCCTTTAGCGTCATATGAGACGCAGATATATGGCGCCTCCTAGTGGTCTAACCCTAACACTACCCCAGACCTAAACCTACCCAAAACCGAAGCGTGTTATATTGACGCTAAAGGGTGCCATATGCGTTGGATATAGACGCTTTGGCAAAAGAGTCAATATATTACGCTTTGGGATGAGAATGCGTTGGAAAAGAAGAGCATTTTATCTCATTCTAATAACTACTGTAGGCATGATTATTTTCTTTGTGCCATTTACAATCTCAGGATTTTCTTTCATTCTAACACATAAGTATATTGCTGAACTTTTTTGTTTTAGTTTTATTTGTAATGTACTGGTTGATTTTGTTCAGCCTGTTCTTTATCTGCACTGTGTTGGGAAAATCTCCTGTCTTTTCTCTCCATAAAACATTACTTTTTTCAAATACCTTTGACTGGAAAATTTACATTTACAAAGTTACATTCATACATTTTAAAACAACAACTTTTCATGTTCTTTCATGACCTCAAAACATGTTAATGCATATGTATTTTAGTATTAGAGAGATTCCCCATCAACTCTATATTGTTTGACATATTATTTAGAAGTTTTCGCATAGTATAGTATATATAATGCATTTCCGTTGTGACATTACACTTTAATGCAGGAGAGCCGTGACAAGGGACACACAGGTCCAGCAAAGTCCATGTCATTTTCCCAGATGATTTTGTCATTTAAATGGTAATTTCGTTAAGGTACCCAAAAATAAAAACTGCTCTTAGACTAGATTACAATCAGTCATCAGGGACGGATTATGACGCGGTCGTGCCCTGGGCATGGGGGGAGGGGTGGGAGGGGAGTGAGATAGTAAGAAAAGGGAAAGAATGCTTTTGGAGTATACAACCCCTAATTATTATTTATTGGTCAAACTCAATAAATGCTTACATTTTCACATGCTACCATATTGTTTAGAAAAAGGCAGTATCTCTGTGCAGGAGAACAGGCATAAAAAAATAATAATAATTATATATCTGTATAGTATTATTATATAAGTATATATAAGCAATAAGGTACGAGAGGCTGTGCTGTATCGTAAATAAGTAACGGCTGAAGGGCCGTAATACAAAAATATGTTTTAGTGCAACTTTCATGAAGTAAAATCACTAAAAGCCTTCCTTCCGCTAGAAAAAAATAGTCCCTGACCGTGAACAGCAACAACGTTCCAATGTGTAATATGCATGAAAGCTCAAATAAAAACAACATAGGAACTGCAGTGTTGCGCAGTGATAAATAGAACCGTTGGGTGAAGCGGTCATAGACGTGTTTTATCATGAATAAAGCACAGCTATTGACCAATCAGAATCAAGGATTGGAACTAACCGTTTTATAAACAAATTGAAGTGTCCAGCCAATAGTATTATTTAAAACACAACTTAATGTGATTTAACAGATTTGAATTAGTATCAAGGTTAGGGCCTATACACCTGTTGCTCCCATCCCATCTTTATACCATTTCTCTCTTCTATTTACCATGTTAGAAAAGTATCACATTCAGTATATCCAAATTAAAATGACATATACAGTCATATACAGAGACTGCGAGTGATCACGGAAAATAAATAAATAAAATAAATTAAAATGAAATAAAGATAAGTTTATCTTTTTTACAGCGTTGAACTCCCGTCTTTGTCGGATCGTCTCCGCAGAAAAATCCTGGACGAATGCGAGTTTGGATCCGTCATGTGTAATGTCCCGTTGTCTTGTGGAGCGTAGGACGAATTCTTTATCCTGATAATTGAGAAAGCGAAGGAGGACGGCTCGGTTCTGGTTGGGAACTGCTGAGGCCAGGGTACGGTGCTCTTTTCAGTATGAATACTCTGTCGGGTTCGATGCCCAGCCACCCGGGGTAGCATATCGGTTACAAAGTCCAAAAGATGACGCTTACCCTCAGCCCCCTCCTTAAGACCAAACAACCGAATATTTTTCCTCCTACTGCGGTTTTCCAGGTCCTCTGTCTTTTCTTCCAGGTATGTGAGCCGCTTTGTTGCTTTAACCAGAGCCCTCTCAGTCTTGTCCAACGCGTCCTCTGTAGTGGCTATGCGGGCTTCAGCCTCCTCGTTTCGTTGTTCATTGGCTGTTACATCTCGTTTAATTTCACCAAAATTGTTCTCCATCACCTAGATAGAGTTCGTCAGCTCACCCAGTTGGTTGTTTATACCGTCCAGCTTCGAGCTGAACTCGGAGCGGAGTGATTTAAGCTCAGTTAGCACGTCGGCCACATTAGCCATGCTATTAACGTTAGCTTCGACACTCTCGACCGGAGATGATGGCTTCACGCTTCGTGAGCTTGTTTTTCGAGCGTTCGATAAGATGTCACACTCCTTTGCTTCTGGGGGCTTAGGCATTATTTATATTATGTAGTTGACCAGGGGGCTGTTCCATAAACCAAGATTAGAGTATAAGCCAGGCTTATTTCGGTTAGTCAGGCTTATTGTTGGTAGATTCAGTTTCATAAATCAAACTTAAAAAAGTTCAAACTCAGTTACCCTGGCAACTTATGCTGGGAAACTAGCCTGGTCCAGGGCAGGCTAACTGTCAGGCTAAGCCTCAGTTGTTACACAGATCCTCAACACTGACCGACAAGAACACAATTATATTACCACTGACAGTCTCTAATACCATCATTGGACTTTATAAATACACAGTTTACAGAAAATCAACTTAAATAAGGCTGCAATATAGACAATATAGACACATGAACCTACTCAGTATTGTCCATCAGAATCTTTTAATTTCGTTCCCATAACCACTGCACAGGTTCATAACGCCCTAACGAAACTAGATACAAAAAAAAAGGGCTGGAATTGATAAAATTGAGCCCTATTTTCTAAAATTGGCAGCTGATCTTGTAGCAGAGCCTATAGCCTCTATAATTAACTTAAGCATCGTCTCAAATGTCATACCAAAAATGTGGAAATCAGCAATGGTTACTCCATTACTAAAGGGCGGAGATCCCTCGGATCCAAATAATTACCGTCCTATTTCTAGATTGCCAGTTATAGCGAAAGTTTTTGAATCACTGATAAACAGAGCCGGACAGTTACGGAGTACATTAACTTGAGTACAGTACTTAAGTACAATTTTGAGGGATCTGTACTTTACTCGAGTATCATTTTTGGGGAGTACTCATGACTTTACTCAAGTACATTTGAGAGGCAAATATTGTACTCTTTACTCCACTACATTTCTATTTATAACCGTGAGTACCCGAGTAAAAAAAAAAGAAAAAGAAAAAAAAAAGGAAAAATCTCGGAAACCCTCAATTTGTTGTTTCCCTCTCAAACGTGATTGGATTGTGCAGGCGCCACTGATTGGGACAGCCTATCAGCAATCACCTTCAGCTTTCCGCCAAAGTCAACTCCATGGTCAGATTTTATATTACACATTAATGTAAGCTAAGCATTTGCTGTGATGTTCTTGAGTATGCGGTGTGTTTAACACAGTCAGGTTCAAATGTGGCAGTGGCGTAGCCACGAGGGATTTCTGATTGCTTAAAAAAAAAAAAAAAAAAAACTTACGGAGGCAAAATATATTTTTACTGATTATGTGAATTACACTGCGCAAACCAAAGTAGGCTACTACCCAGCGAATGAAGAAGGGTTGGCGCTCAGTCTCCACAGTACATAAAATATTCATTTTGTTTTATTTTATTTTTCGTGTTCGCATGAGGAAAAAACAATGTTATGGATGTGTTCTCCGTTACGGACGCAAGCACTCTGAAAGCGGCATAAAAGATGCTTTAAAACTTTCACAGAGACATCAAACAGAAAACACAAAACCTTTCTGTAACCTGAATTTCGTTTTGCATTAATTGTATCTTAATTTTAATCAATGTTTCATCAACCAATTGCCTGGGTTTAATAAATAAGAAGTAAATATAGCAGACAATAGATAAGAAACGGACGCGCCGGCGCGTGAACTGGAGCGCGTCTCATAATGAACCGAAACTCAGAGTAAGATTATACTCGCCTCACAGACATGTCTTATAAACAGAACAATTCAAAACGAAAGAAAACAGACGACAGACTGCTCTCTGCTTATGTCATCCGTATGAAATGTGCATTTCTCTCTGGCGCGTTCACTACTGAAGATCGCGAGTCGGCATCGTCAACTTCATCTTAGCCAACACTAACAAAGAAAACTCTTGTTTATTAACAAGTGTTTATTAATAAACAATTAAAATATCTCCTTGCTATATTTTACATATTCATAATCATTCCTTTTGCCGGTTCTTTGTGACAGCTTTTAGGTGCTTTATTGGCAGCGCCACCCTTACATGTGATGTGATGTGTGTGTGTGCGTGTGTGTGTGTGTGTGTGTGTGTGTGTTGTCCCTGCATTTAAAGATGGGACCCACCAAAAATTTAATTAAATAAAGCAACATGGTAAAAAGATGAAAATGACTTGATTTTACTTTCAATTTCTTTTACATTCTCCAAGGTATTAACATTACCATTTTTCATAACTCCATGTAGGACGTTTCTGTGCATAAATGTAAGCACTGTGGCAGTAGACTAGTAATGCAATATTTAGAAAATCTACTCTTGTACTCTTGATACTCAAGTACTTTTAAAAACAAGTACTTTAGTACTTTTACTTAAGTAGACATCTGACTGTAGTACTTTTATTTGTACTTGAGTAAAATTTAGCAAGGGGTGTCTGTACTTTTACTCAAGTAACAAAGCTCTGTACTCTGTCCTTCTCTGCTGATAAATGACCAATTAAAACTATTTCTGTCGGTTAATAACATGCTTCACAATTATCAGTCAGGCTTTAGAACAGGACATTCTACCATTACAGCAGCTATGTTAATCTCAAATGATATTATAACCTCTTTAGAGAAAAAAAAGTCATGTGCTGCGCTATTCGTTGATCTATCAAAGGCTTTCGATTCTGTAGATCACAAATTACTGTTACAGAGACTCAAGCTTATAGGCCTTAGTGAAGCGGCTCTAAATTGGTTTGAAAACTACCTCACAGAACGCACTCAGTGCGTGTCAGTGGAAAATTATAATTCACCTTTCCTTCAAGTAAATATCGGGGTTCCTCAAGGTTCTGTTTTAGCCCCTCTTTTATTTTCTATTTTTAGCAATGATTTAGGTCATGGAATAGATTCAGCTAAATTACACTTATATGCAGACGATACAATTATTTACACAACAGCATCTTCTTTAAATCAAGCTTTGCAGCAATTGCAGAATGCTTTTCAAGTACTGCAGCGCTCATTGTCGCAGTTAAAATTAGTCTTAAACTCAAAAAAGACAAAATACATAATTTTTAGTCGAGGTCGTTCTAAGGTAACTGAAATGTCAATTAAAACTTTAAATGGTACACTTTTAGAAAGAGTTAGTTCCTACAAGTACCTAGG